CGAAAAAATTATTATAAATTCAATAAGAAAGATTTAATTAAGTTTGATTTGATAAAAGGCATTACAGTATTTTGAAATTTCAAAACAATTTGTAGGAATTTATACAATTTTGATAAATATAATTATCTACTATATATATTATATTAATAATAATAATAATAAGACAAATATATAAAACAATTAGAAAATAGATTTATTTTAACATATTTTTATTTCTCAATGTGGTACATGGTCATAGTTTTACTCGAACTGAGATTTGTTTGCTTAAAATTTTGGTCTTGACGGTCTTGCGTAGTTTTTGTTGAACTTTTGCAGTAATTAAGAATACACTGTCAAACCATGATTATTCATCACAAACAATAAGTCTGTAAACAAACGATAAGTTATAGGTTAGGTTTGTACATTTATACTTGTAATTATTAAATGAGTAAATTAAACTTACACTTATAGAAAACTATTAAGTGTTCTCGATAATTTTACAGTTTCTATTTTCACTTTATATATGCACTTTGTTATCAACAAAACAATTAAATATAAATATCACAATAAAATATATAAGTAAATTGTAATTTATTATCGTAAATTGCACTTTTTACAAGACTAGAAATTTCTCTAGCATAAGTAGAGTTAAAAAACAATAAATAATAGATTTAATAAGAATAATAAGTTCATTAATAATTTATGATAGTTTAGAGTATTTACGAAGTTTTTTTGTTTTTAATTTCCGATCGTTTAAAGTACGATTAATTAAATTTACTAAGAAATTTCCACGCATGACGATAAAATTATTTAAAATTGTAGCCATAAGTTCTTTGACATGTTTATCACAGCCTAACATTGGTAAAAATTTTGCCTTTGAAATTTTTTCCAAAATCTGGTTCATTTTATTTATTTTAATTGTCTTAATACCTACGAATTCATTAATATTTTCACTGGATGAGTTTTCGTGATTCACAATACCATTTTCAATAATTGCATCAATGTCATTAAGCCAATTTTTTTTAACGAATTCGATGCAATCAGAGATTCCTTTGTTTGCATTAATGACTGAAGAAGCTCACCAGCCGTGACATTAGACCCTTTTGAAGGGGTGACTAGCGAATATGAACAGAGTAATCAGAAAACCTGTCCAAATAGAATGGTGTCTGGATGATTATTACAGCGACAAACACTTCTCATGATACCAAAAAATTTCTGAAAACGATAAACGTAAAAATTTTAAAATAGTAAAAGAACAATAAATTATACAAGATAAGAACGATAATACATACTTCCAGTTGATCTTGATTAAGGTGAGACGTCATTAAATATTCGTAGTTGCATTCTTTGTGTATTGTTTTTTTGGTATTAATTGCTGGTTTAATCCACTACTTCATAATTTTACCAGATCAGGGTGCTTTTGAAAAAAGAAAATTATTACGTGAATTGCAATAGATTGAAGATAGATAAACGTAGAAAGATAAAAGAAATGTAGGATTTTTTAAAGATAGAATTCTGCAAAAAAAAAATTAAATTTTTGACTTTTAGTTTGATTAACTTATTTGCATCATTGCATTTTTTTATATTAGTAATTAATAACTATCAATTAAGGTTATATTACCTGTGGTACAGTGAATAAAAACGTGTTTCTCCGATTTAATTTAGCATTCTTATTACGATCCTTGACTTGTCCACTTATACACCCATGAACAATACATTTCTTTACCATTTTGAAATAAATATTACTTTTTATAAATTAAAAAAACATTAATGCAATTGCTAATAATGCAGTATTGTCAACAATTGTCAATGAAAAATATGACGTCATAAACCTGACTTCAGCGAACATAACGAAACCTAGCGGCGTAATTCCGAAAATAATCTTTCCTTTTCTTTCCATTCGTATTTGCTAGTTATTTTCCTATGTCGATCGCTCTCCTGTTATCTGGCTCCATGGTACAAACATAGTGACAGAAATAATTTTTAAAAATATTCGAAATCATTAAAAATTGAATGTAAATTTATCTATATATTAATAGAATATATATAAAATTATATTTCGTAGTTTAAAATTAATATTTGCACGCATTACAATAAAATTGAAAGATGACAGAAGAAGGAAAAAAAATTTCTTTTGGTTTTGCCAAAACTGTTAAGAAGCCTGTATTAAAAAATAAACTTCCTCAGGAACAAAAGAAAATTGATTATATCGAATGTGTAGATAATAAAAGTATTAAAATTATTGGGTAAGTGATAATATTTTTTTTTGTAATAAAATTTAAACAAAAGTTATTTTTTCTAACCTCATTATTAGAAAAGTTATGAGAAGTAATTTTATGAAGTTGTTGTATGTATAAAAAGTAATTGTTTAAAATGTGATTTTTTATTTTATAGAGAAGAAGAAAAAAAAGATGAACCCCTGGTCATTCCATTGTTGGGTTCAAAAATGTGGCACGATAGAATTATCAATAAAATAGATGCAGACATATTTGAACCCAAAGTAGTGCCAAACGAAGAAGTAAAAGTACTAATTGATATTAAAAAAGAGACGAGTAGTGAAATAGCTAATGGAAATGCTACACCAATTCATACCGACATTCCTAATGTGGTTATTAAAACTGAGCCAGTGAATACGACGTCTATAGAAACTACTACCAGTAATTTGGAAGAACAAGCAGCTAAAGAAATTATAGAAGATTTAAAATCTACAGGAACTAAACAAGCATCTAAAGTTTTAACTTTACCTGTAATGGAGGAAGAAAAAGCTTTGAGGGGACAAGAAGAAGTAAGTTAAATCATATCGATTAAAATTTTACTATTTATAAAATTCTCTCTAAATTATATTCATATTATTAATAGTCTACCTTAGAAGATTATGAACGAATTCCAATAGAGGCGTTTGGTTTAGCTGTACTACGTGGAATGGGATGGAAACCGGGACAAGGAATTGGTAAAAATGAAAAGTAAGAATCTGTTCTAATGTACAAATACTATAGGTAAAAATAAATTTTATTATACATCCGTTTAATTTTTTTTTTATTTTATATTTTACAGATTAGTAACGACTGTTATACCTGAATTACGTCCAAAAGGAATGGGTCTTGGAGCGGACAAAATAACAATACAAAAAAAAGTAACTAAATCTAAAGACAAAAAAGAAAAAGAAATACAAATTGAGAAAGGTACCTATGTGAAGATCACAAGTGGTAAATATGTTAATGCTTATGGTCAAATAGAAGGGTTAGACGACGATGCTGGAAGAGTAATTATCAAAATGGCTTTGGGAGGAGACACAATTTCTGTAAATGAATTTATAGTTCAACCTGTGACGAAAGATGAATATACTGAGAAAGCTAAGGTTTTAAGTTAGTATACAAGTTACATTCTTTATTAAGGGATCTTTAAAAAGTCAATCTAATACTCCACAAAATATAATTTACATATAACGTAGATTAGATAAATATATATGTTAAAAATAATTGACAATGTTTTTTTACAAAAAGTTAATATTAAAATGCTTTTTAAAGATCTCTGTTGTTATTGCATTACTTTGATAGGTGTTGAAAGTTTAGTTTTTAGTATTTTATGACACTGATTTCAGATGCAGCGAAGTATAAAGAATATAAAAGCAAAGAAAGTCCCCAATTAGAAAAACGTTCGTCTTTGGAACCTAATAAAGGTAATCAAGATAACGAAAAGGAGCAATCTAAAAAGGAAGAAAGAAGTGATACTGAAAGACACAGTGGTAAAAAAAGAAAGAAAAATTATGATTATAAAGCAAAATCAAAAAAACACAAAAGACACTCGTCGGTCAGTGATAGTAGTGTCGAAAGAAAAAGCCGAAAGAGAAGAAGTTCTAGCAGTAGCAGTGGTAGTAGCAGGCATAGAACAAAAAAATATAAGATAACTAAAAAAACTAAAAAGCATGATAATTCACCGGAACAATCGAATAAAAAGCGAAAGAAGAAGGATAAGGAACGTGAAACAACTAAAGACAAAGATAGAAACAATAGCGAAACTTTAGATAAAAAGAAACATAAACAAAAGAGGACACGATCTAGATCACCTAAGAGAAAATCCAGATCAAGATCAACTAGAAGATGATGATATACATTTGTTAAATTCACTTTTATTTAACTGCCAAATTTTGTACTATTTTGTTTATGTACAGTGGAATTTGGGATTGCAAGTAACTTGGCTTACAAGTAAAACAAAAGCCAATTACAAATTTTTCATTTCATTAACGAACAATGTCTCAAAATACAAGCAATACGAATAAAGCATATTCGTGGTAAATAAAGTGTGGATTAACTTGTTTAATATTTTCTTAGTATTTTGTATTTTATATAATTTTTATATGAATAAAAAACTATGGAGCTAATTATCTAATTTCCCATTATGTATTTATTATGATAGTATTTGCTTTGATATACGAATGCTTTTGATTATGAAATTTCTAGAATGATTATGCTGGCAAACCGAGGTTCCACAGTATCATTTTGTCTCTTAATAAAATTTATTTTTGCATACATTTTTAAATCCATTTTTAAATTATAATATCTAAAATTTATAAAAATCATTTTTTCAATGGCCTTACCTAGTTGAAAAAACTCATTTCCATATAATCACAAAAGTTAAACAACTATGGGCACACTTAGGGCAATTACCTATTCGAGTACTAACTGTATAACGCACTGTTTTTAACCCATAACGCTCCAAGTGTGCCTCCCAGGAACCATCAATGATCAGCGTTCTACTCCAAGTGTGCCTCCCAGGCATCACCGGTGATGATTATAAGAATACGTTGGAGTTGCCAGTAGATAACTACAATTAAATGTCGAAGTATTAAAGGTTAAGGAACCTCTTACCTGTAAAATGCACAGAGTAATAAGGAAAAAATCTATATAAATATTAATTATCTTATTCATTATATATAAAACTTGTATGATGATATCTTGAACATATACATGGTTTACATTTTTTGATTAGATTAATTTTACGTTATTCTGTACTTATTTTTTCTTTAAGTGTATCTGCACTTGAATATGTAGATGGTACATTTATGCCATAACCTAATTATCATGCTACATACGAAGATACTCAAGCAAAGTATTAGGACCATGTCAAGTACGTAAAACAACCAAATATAATAAAATATAATCAATATTATAAGAGATAATACTTTACTGCCCTTAATATATTTAACTAATTAATAAATAAAAATTTAATATTTGATTTTATAATCATAGCACTCCGTTTAGCATTAGTGCAACTTGCTGTGGGCGATGACAAAACGAAAAATTTAACACGAGCTGTTGATTATATTGAACAAGCTAAAAAAGATCGTGCGAACATCGTCGTATTACCAGAGTGTTTTAATTCTCCTTATGGAACATGTGTGTAAATAATATTAATTATATTTTTTTTCTTCCCTCCGGGCGAAAAGCGTCAACTTTTCTCTCGCTGTTCAAAACGAAGTTACCGCTTTCCGCCTACGTCGAGCAGAAAAAATGTATACTCACCATGGGCAGTAAATAAGAAAGCCTCAGAGCACATGTTTGTTGATGATTGATTACATGTACTCTGAGACATTTCTTACTTTACCTCCCTAGGTGACTAATATACTATTATATTCTACTTACAATATATAGTAAACAGTGTGTAATGTGTAGCAGTAATCTTCACTTTAAACATTAACTAAATATACAGTAAATATTAATTTGAAAACAAAAGACTAGAACCGTATTCCATATAAGTGAAAGTTCATTAGCTTCCAAAATTCAAATCCTACAATTAATTGCCGTTTTTTAAAAATGATTTAATTTGCGTGCATATTTGATTTATTTAAAAAGATCATTTTTATTTGACATACTTGTAACCCGTAAATGTCATATATTTTAAATATAAATATGTAAATATATTTCCTAATATAAATTTGTTTACATGCAAATTTAGCTCATTTCCCAAAATACGCAGAAGAAATTCCAAAAGGCCAGACGAGCATTGTGTTGTCTGATGCGGCGAAAAAAAATAATATTTACGTAATTGGCGGTACAATTCCAGAAAGAGATGGCGATAAATTGTATAATACTTGTACGATTTGGGGACCTGATGGAAAAATGATAACTAAATACAGAAAGGTGGTAATCATTTATTATTTCTAAATCGATGGTTTATATAAAACAAAACAAAAAATATACTTTAAACCTTATATAAAAGATATTTTTTATTTTCTAATATTTATAAAAATACATCCACAAAAATATTCATGACAGAGATAAAAGTTTTCATTTTAAAAAATACGAGTCGTTGAAATTTTACTTTTAAAAATTGTCCTCTCCCAACTTCTCAACATAAATTTCTTTATCGACAGATGCATCTCTTCGATATCGATATCAAAGGGAAAATTACGTTTCGCGAAAGCGACTCATTAACTTCTGGAAATTCTCTGACCACTTTCGAAATAATGGGGTGTAAAATTGGGATTGGCATTTGCTACGATATTCGTTTTGAAGAATTGGCTAGACTTTATAGAAATCAAGGTATATTTAAATCAAATCTAATTTCTTTCAATTCATAAATTTACCGATTGTAAATCCACTTTGTTAGGTAATCAATTAATCTTGTTTTTACAGGATCATAATTTTATAATTCATTTTTCTTTTTTATTTTAAATTAAAAAAACTTTGTTTTTAATCATTATGGTAATTTCTTCTCATCAATAGGTTGTAAAATGTAAATATATTAAGCAAAATTTCATTAAAATATACCATGGGTATAGGCCGGGAAATATCTTTTTTATAGAATCAACATTTTTGCTATCTTTTTTTTTATATTATTCTTTTTGTATTTTTATTAGTAATTTTTTGTTTGTTGTTCTTCATCAATAGGTTGCCAAATGTTAATATATCCAGGTGCATTCAATTTAACAACTGGTCCACTGCATTGGTCGCTTCTGCAGCGTTCTAGAGCAAATGACAATCAATTATACGTCGCCTGCGTATCACCAGCTCGTGGTTCTCTTCCTGGTTATATAGCATGGGGACACACACAGCTAACTAATCCTTGGGGTGAAATACTTCATGAATTAGATTCTACGGAAGACATGATCGTCTCTGATATAGGTAATAGAGAAGCTACTTATCATTAAAGTAACTTCCACTTGAATGCCATTACGAATTCCTCACCTCTCATTTACATATGTAGTTAAATAGAATCTTAATTATTCCTAATTGTATTAAACTCACTAAACTAATAACAATATTGCAATAATAAGAAATTTATTATTTTACAGATCTCAAAGTGGTTGATGAGGTAAGAGCTCAAATTCCAATTTTCTCCCAACGACGTACGGATTTGTATAACACAATTTGGAACAAGTAATTATATTTTTTCAATAAATAAAATCGTCTTTTTTAATATTCAAGTTATCAATATAAACTGTTGTAAATAAGATATGGTTGACATCCATAAATAATATATATTTTGTATGGAGGTTTTGGGCAAATATAAACAGCAATTTTTTCATGAAATTAAAATACTCGTATTAATTTTAATTTCTCTTATATTATATTAAACTAGTAAATAAAATTGGGATTACGTTGATCTTTCGTATATACCCCAGTGAACACACCAACGTAACAGTGATATCTGTTTAAAGTTTGTTCTAGAATTAAAATATAAAAAAAAGATTTAAAGAGACGCGGATTGAGTAGTCGGAGAACAGTCAGCTGTTAATCAATGAGATTTAAATCAATAAGTTTTCGGTTGCTAAGATGTTAGTTGCTAATCAATAAAACGTTAGTTGTTTATGAATGAATTGAGATATTAAGGAGAAAAAGATCGAAATCAGTTGTTTAGTTGTATCAGATGAAAAACCATTGTTTTCGATATCGGTTGTGAAAAAGTTTTACTCTCCATTAAATAAGAAAAATTGTGTTACTTTTTTTTGTGTTTTACTTGTTACCTTTTAAATTACATTTCGTTGATATTTATTCGCTTTATTTTAAAGAACGTTATCGTACAAATTTAAGAAGTTTCTAAGACGAAGATTTTAAAAGTCCGCCAGCTTCATGCAGCGCTGTCAATTTGTCATCTTCCAAGACGCGTCCTGTGAGATCTGCTTCT